GAATGGACGAGGTGTCATCTGTTGTGGTTCCGCGTGAATTTTTTGATCACCACGGACCTAGTATATCTATGACGGTACCGCCACGAACATGCTAGGTCTGTAGCGGTCGAAAAACACATGCCGCCTAATTTTTTGGAACGGTGATGATAGGAGAAAACATTGTTCATTTTCACCCTTTAGCACTGTGTAGATACTTCCTATACACACACACATACACATACACATACACATACACATACACACATACAATGAGACTATTTTTTTTATACAAGGAGGTCATAATCATTATTCACCATTACATGTGAAATTTGATGATAGGAGATGTGTCATCGATTGGGTACAAAATCCAAAATAAAATTTCTCGAAGATTGTAACACACTTCAATATATTGGATTTCACATCTAAAAACTGAAAGTGATTTGTGACTTCATGGTACTAAAAGTAAATAATATTATTATATATAATTTCATAGGGTGCATTTGGCATACAGATGCACCATAGCTGTAGATGTAAGGTACGCCTTCAAATTTTATCATGGTATATAATTTGATGTAAAATGTTCTTAGGATTATCTCAAAATCTATTTTTATATCTAATTACAACATTTTTAATTTAAAAAATGGTTAAAATCGAGTAGATCTATAAGCATATGAAAATCTTGAAAATGGACGGTGTAGATAATATGTTGTAAAATGCACTATTTTTTAGACTTAAAATCTTTTTATTTTTCATGGTAATACATCTCGATGTCAAGATAAACAATCAGAGGGTTTTTCCACATTAAAACTACATTTTCCAATGGATTTTTGAGGTGCATCTGTAGCTCTACATTATAAGGTCGCAACCTTATATAAACTTTTTCCACTTTCATATTAAATATGTATATATAAAAAACACACATGCAATATTTTCCCTATATTATAAAATATTATAATAAAAGTTATTTTTATTTTATTTAGATTTGGATCTGATTTAGCAAGTCAGGTCTTGGTCCAATGACTTTGTCCAAGTTTAGTGATATGGACCTGACATGGTTCTGCTTTGGTTCTAGGTCCAACTAAGACGTAGTGGAGTCCGGATTGACCAGGACCCGATCTAACCTATTAATACCCCTATGTAGAGAGAGTTGGTGTCCCCAGTGGTAGAAGAGGGATGAATGTGCACGCCAAATAGTGCAATTTTGTTACATCATGGGGTGCAGTTGTCGTACTATTATCTGCAATGCTTATTTATAAAGATGCCATAAATTGAATATATCTATTTTAGATAGATGATGTAGATAGGATTATGAGAATATATCTAGATACATTTTGATAGTGTTTTCCTTTCTTCAAAGGGGTCCAAGTTGACCACATTATATCCATATACATTTTCATAGTGTCTTCCTTCTTCATAGGGGTCCAAGTTGACCACATCCCAAACCCAACCCGATTAGGTCTAAGACTTGTACCCTACCCAAACTCAATTCGGGTCCAAGTAAGAGATTAGTAGGGTTGGATGGCTTGTCCTCCAAGTCGTACTCAGACTCAAATCCATACCCGATTGGATCAACATCAAGTGAATTTGGGCCCAACTAGTTGGGTCCATTGTCTGGATTCAGACCCGGACTGATCGGGTCGACTCGTTGGGTCTACAGGTCGATCTAACCTAATTTCCACTCTACTTCTTCATTAGTAAGGAAAATAGAGTGTCCGTACTACAGAATGATAGGTGATAGGTGGACAAGAAGGTTTACATGAAGCACAAGTATAAGTAACTAATGTGGGTTGTACTTTCATATTTGATGGGGAGTCTCAGGTCTGTTTCCGAAAAGACAACAACAAGGACTAACTGTCGATCATGAAATTCCCCTATTCAAATACGAACAATTTCTATGGGCGCTGCCATTACTCGAATTTTACATAATTTAGAGAGTTGAAAAGCTTGAAAATTAAATCCTCTTGGATCTTCATAATCATGCACAATGATTTAAATTTTATTTTATTTTCATTAATTTTTTTATTTTTAAATCATCAATTCAAACCGATCCAGATCGTCGATTGAGTAATCCAATGCTGATTATCCGCAACCATCCAAGTTTCGAAACTCTAATCATGAATTTGAAGGAAAATGAATAAACGAGCTTCAAAAATTATCCATATATTACCTGTATTTTGAATCTACATATTTGAGTCTTCACAAATTCACCAAATTTACACCATTTTGACACGTCAAATTCCAACTTCATGGGTGAAAATAGAATTTCATACCATCACAATGGTTTATGGCATCTGAGCCATCAGATTTTATAAAACCGCGGCCGCACAAAAATCACAATATTTTTTTAGGTAATTCAATGGTGAAGACGTGCCCCTACCGTGTTTTCAAGTAGATTAGGAGTAAGCTTTTTTTAATGTATTAATGTGGTGATGCTAACTTAAACAAATGTGAGAAAGACATGCTCTTTTAAACCCAATCCTTTCTCTCTTTTCATTTATATATCCAAAAAACTTCTGTTTTTCTCTCTCATCTTTTGTTTCTCCAAACACCTCTCTCTCTCCTCCTAGTAACTTATCACTTCCATAAAGCTTTTATCTTTTTCTAGAAGTTTGAGAGGATGGATTTAAAAAAAAAACATGTCTTTTTAGATTTGTTTGGCCTAAAAAAACAGGTTTAAATTAGCTCAAGAGATTAGAATAAATAAAAACTATAACTTTTATGCTCGAATATATCTTTTAAAACCTTGAATCCATTGCGAAATAAAACCTAAAAATAGAAGGTACAGAGATATTTTTCCTATTATATACTATAATAGTGAGGTGCTCATGGTAGGAAAGATTTATACAACGGCGAGACCCTAAATCATCAAATCAATATCTACCTAAAAAATTTAGAAGAGATTTTTTTTTATGATAAAATCCCCTCAATTAGCTCATGTCAACCGCCTTTTTTTTTTTTACTTCGATCATCTTAACCTCAAGCTGTATGGACATGAGACAAAATAGATTTTGAGTTTTGGAACTCCTGCATCTTGTAATGTATTTATCTAGACCGAAAATTTTCAAGATTTTCAAGCTTTTATTTTTTAATCACAAAGATTTCTATTACTAAAATATCTTGTTTGGATAGTATTTGAAAATACGCCTTACTTTGATTGGTTAGAGCCTGAGCCTTATACAAACCACACCACACCCGATGATATAATAATCCAAATATGGCTAAACCTCCCGTGTGTCCCCACATAATCTTTCGATTCCATGTATTTACGTCGAAAGTCAATCTGTGTATCATTAGAAACTTTTCCTAAAAATGGTCCCTAAAGTACGCTTATCTCTACGTCAGTTACTTTTTTGGGTTAGTTATCTTTGAATTGAATATGATAATCGTTGAAGTTATATAAGTAGGACTCGGTTTCTAGCGGCCCAGCCCATATGTAGAAATGCGACTTCTTAATAAATTTATTTTTGAGATGGATTTTAAGATTTAATTTTTAAAGACATATAATCTCCAACATGGAGATCATGAATATAAAAAAATAAATAAATTTTAAAAACTAAAAATAATAATTATAACAAAAAAACATTTAGAACGTTAGGTTCAATTGTTTTTAGATAGGATACCTAATTGCATCCATCTTTAGAATGGATGCTTTACACTTTATGGGGCTGCATATATGGAAATAGGGTCTAGCCCACATGAAACAATTTTCAGAGATACACTGGATCAATTATTAAAATATTCATGTTTTAGATTTAATGATAAATATTTATATATACATTTTTAGCAAGTACAACGTGCTCTACGAGAGCATTATTGTACAACATCTCCCTAGGGAAAAATAGACACTTAAAGAGGATTTTTTTTAATCCAAAATTTTTTTGTACATCTCTCTCGGGAAAAATAGACACTTCAAAGGATTTTTTTTTAATCCAAAATTTTGGGATCTAATTAACAGTGGATTATTATCTCCAATAAATAAAATTGGATTTTGAGTTCTTAAATATTTAGATATTTCCCTCTAAAAATTGGACGATTCTTTTCAATCTTGGGACATCCATTTATTTGGTATATAGAGACTACAGATTAAATTTTTTGTCTTTGAGATTTGGTCCATGAAGATTACATCCCAAAATTTGAAATCCAATAACTATACCAAAGTTGAGCATTTAATACCTTAAGAAATTGGATAATTTTATAAAACTACCCGTATTACTGTAATAATAGGAAATAAAAGGAGTATATCTATCCAATTAAAAACAAAAGGGTAATTCAGAAATACTAGCCAAAATTTATGGGCATTGTAGAAATTTCATTGTTTCAAGCGGAGAATGATTGAGTGCCGTAGGCCTCTCGTCTGCTATTTTTGCAACTGTGAAAACTCATTTTTATTCATTTGATAAATTTTCATATTCATATCTGGAAAATTCCGGGAATTTTTTGAAACTGAGAAATCAATTTCATTTTTGTTCCCCGATTTAAATTCCACCATAGGGTAAGGAAATTCAATTTTTTCTTGAATTTTATTTTGTAAAATTACTGTCTTTCCATATTTGGCTGATGTTTTGTTTCATGTCCTTCGCATGGATCATTGTATAATTAGGGTTTCTTATCTTTTATATTTCTAGAGTTTTGGTGTGAGAAGCTTTTTTTTTTTCGATTTTTGGAAAATTTTGAATTATTTTGCTCTCTCTCAAAGTGGATGTTGATTTCTCAGTGTTCATGACGTTTTTAACCAGGTGAGATGAATTTTTGTCCTTCTCTTTTCATTTCAAACCGTTGAATTTGCGTTGTTGTTATGAGAGAGAGAGATATTTGTAGGTTTTCTGAAAAATGTTTGGAATTATTTTGGGCTTCTTCCTCTTTTTTTAGTTCTTTTGAGATTAGAAAGTTAGTCCGTTGTATATTGCCTTGTAAGTAGGAATAACATGATGATTGGTGATTGCAAATTAGGTTATGAATGGTAAATTTGATTGTTCTCTGACATGTTCTCCGATTTTGCCATAAGATGATTGTTTTTGTTTTATTGTATTATTTGTTTTTTCTCTAAATTTTGCCAATGTTTGATTAGTTCTGTTCAATGATTAGATTGAAAATAAAGCATTATTAATTTATTATTAATGCTATTATTTTTGCATTTATGACAGAACTTAGAAGCATTTTCTTTCCCTTCTGTAGCTCGATGTACTATGCATATCTCCTACTGTTTATCTCTTAATCTTTGTGATTTTCAGTTATTTCAATTTCATTGAGGTTTGAGTTTTCTCGACTTACTAACTTGATCTCGATGTTAGGAGTCGAATGAGCTGGAAAGTGGTCCGTATGCACTAACTATTAGGTTAGAAGTCATACCCCAAGTGAAGTCTATTTGATTAATTTGTTCATGCTATAGCCTATCCAAATGCTGCAACTCTCTTGTTTTTGGGCTTCTGTGATAAATTTCAGCTACTATTTGAGTGCGTTTTGATCAAATTAGCTGTATTCACTTTTTCAAGCTTGCATCATGTCTTCTACTTCATTACAAGCCGACAGATCTCATAACACTGGTTTTACATGCTCTAGCCTAATTGTAAGGGAAAGTTATAATTCTGTTCTCTTAGATTATTGGTGGTTTTCTAGTAGAGCGCAAACACTTTCTTGGTGGAGCTAGAATATTACCCAAAAACTGAATATGTGAAGTGTATCTGTTTGTAAAATACATTATTAGCTTCAATCTTTGGATTGATTATTTCTTTGATATTTGATAGTCAAACACTTTTTACTTTTAAATGCTCAAATACATATTCCTTTTCAGTTCAAAATGATTTACTATAATTAGTTATTGTTATTTGATGAATATGCAGGCCTTTCAGGTCTCCATTGTTTAAATGGATGGATACCATCTTTGAAGCATAGAAGGCATTTCAGATAATAATACGGTAAGTTGCATCCACTACTGAAACTTATAATTGTTTAGTGTTCTGCTTTGAAAACTGCAGCTTTTACAACAGATGTAGTTTTAGCCATTTTCAAAATCCAAAACTCTTTCGTTAATTTTATGGAATAGCAGTTTATTTGTTGTAGTTGTTTTGTCAGGGGATATCAGAGGACTACAACAGATTACAATATTAATTTGGTTTGTAATTTTGGCTGCAAATCAAGATTATGAATCGTACAAGGGTTGACGCTTTAAGACACTGTGAATCTCCAAAATTTGTGCCACATGGTTTTACTTCTTGCCCTATGTCATTTCATGGTTCATCTGATACTGAACCAGTCAGTCAGATTTCATCCATAGACAAATTCTCATCTCCACGTATGGCTTTGAACATCGAACCTGAAATCTTTGATGAACCCTTACCGCCCCAATTTCGTAATGAATCTAGTTCACAGCAAGGATCTACAAATGAGCTTTGGAACCCAAGTCCCTATATTGAAACCACAAATCCTGGTTCTTCTTTCTCTCATTCTGAAAGTTCCAGGCACATGTTATCTCAATCTTCATCTTTTTGTACCAGTTTACATGTTTCATCTTCATCAGTTCCTGAGAATAACCGGCACCTTGCTAACCTCCCCTTCCTCCCTGATCCTCTGAAAGGAAAATTGCCTGCTTCTAAAGCTAGCTCTTTGAACTCTTTTTTGTCTATAAGTGAAGATCTGAAAACTGAAAGCAAAGAGCATGACACTTCAGAGAACCTAATACAGGACTTATTTAATTTGTCTGGAAATGCATCGGATACCGGCTTATGCTCTGAGAATTATCCAAATGATGACATGATTGTGACAGAGCAGTTTGATTGGCAAATTATATCGGATCATCTTGACTTAGCTATCACTGATATTGGGGAAAATCCTGGATTGGATGTGAGTACATATGCAGCTATATGGTTTTCTTTTTCCTCTGAATAGTGGGTTTGAAATGTTTCCCAATTTTTGCATTGTGAAGCGAACGCAATGGAAAATATGCTATAATCCAATGGACTATGGAAAACCATAGCCCATGGGTGTTGTCACTGTCCAATGAAATGAATGGAACCTTACCTCAATTTTAAGCTCACTCTGTCCATCACCATTCTCATTTCAGTCGATAGTATTAGTGATGACAATAGACTATGGCTTTTAATGGTTGGTTGGATTTCATAGCACTTTTCCGTAACAAATTTTTCCTTTTTGCTTTTCCAAAGAAGCGTTTGTTCCTTTTTATTATTAAGTGCCCTCATCATTACAGGCAGTTGTAATAAAATTATTTGCTTAGAAATTCAGCAATAACTCAGTTTGTCTTGCTTTGTATATAAACTTTAACATATAGGGTTATCTGCTTAGGACATTTATGGGGCACCTCAAATTTCATCTGTGAGCACAAGCGGATTAGAATGCAGCCCCAAACACCATCAGTCATTGCATACTGAAGCTACCCAGAGTTATTCTGCCCCCTCCCCTTCTGGAACTTCAACTGGAAATAAGCCAAGACTGAGATGGACTCCTGAGCTTCATGAGTGTTTTGTAGAAGCTGTCAACAGGCTTGATGGAGCTGAAAGTGAGTATATCTTACAGGAAAATTCTACAATATATGGAGTGTTTATATATAATTGTTCATTTATTCCTACTTTCTGTTGAAATGGATCCACCAGTACAGGAGATGACTGCAATGGTGGTTCCTGCCTGACAGCTCCTCACCATCACTGTCCATCATTTCAGTGGAAACTGATGAGCCAATGGACCGTGATGACTGGACTATACTATGCCGGCTTCCGGATATAGTCACCGAATGGGTCTTGGAATTAGTTTTTTACTTCACATTTTTTGGCTATGTATCTTAACTTACCTTTTGATACAATTGCATGAAGGGTCTTCAAATTAGTTTTTAGCTTCAAATTTTTATGCTATGATTGCAGAAGCAACACCAAAGGGTATACTGAAGCTTATGAATGTTGAAGGCTTGACAATCTATCATGTGAAGAGCCACTTGCAGGTAAAATCACAGGTTTCTGCTTGGTGAATGCTATTGACTATTCTGCAGCTTTGAGAATTGGGTGGGTCTTAGCACTGCTTAGCGCTTGGATCTTATTTAATGTGTGTGCTTGCAGAAATACCGTATCGCCAAGTACTTGCCTGAAGTAAAAGAAGGTAATGTAGTAATATGGATTTTTATTTCTGTGTCTAGAATGATGTTAATGTTTTAAGTTGTATTTCCAAAATGGTATGATCTAGCCATGCTCAAACTTAAACATGCAGTCATTGTGTTCATTTTGAAAGGCATGGGTGTTTTGATTTCTATTGTCATGTTAGTCTTACCTTGTTTCTCCACTGAACCGGTTGGAAAGATTATTGCTACTGAAACCATGGCCCGAGCCTTGTCCACTACAAGGTCTAAGTGGGGCCAACTAGAACAGGCAATGACCCCAGCGGCGGAGGTTCCACGGAACATGGAACACACAACACCCTCTTCTCCCCCCCCCCCCTCCCTCCCAAAAAAAAAAAATCCATTGTTCCATTGTGTATGACCCCAGTGGACTATAGCATTCAGAGTCCACTATCTTTCAAAAAAGAATTGAGACTCTACCGGATTATGGTTTACGCAATGCTGTGCATCATCTTACTTTCCATACAAACCAATTGCTGTTATTTTTTCATTATTAACTGTTCTTCTCAATGTTGCATGGTTTTGAGTATCTTAAATTTGCTACTGACTGTCATTTCTGTTGCTCAGATAAAAAGAATTCCGAATTTGAAGAGAAGCAGCAGCCCTCAACTGATGGTGAAAGTAGGATTGACATTAAGATGTGAGTTCCTGATCACCTTTTTGTTACTCACTCTTTTTATTGTTTCTAATTGAGGGTGGGATATATTTCAGATTCAATCTGAAGCATTACTTGATCTGCTTTAATTCCTTTAACTGGCCTTTATGACCCATCAAACATACTTGTTTATACTAAAGTTTCCTGAAAAATTGTTTCAAATTGCCAGTCCAGGAAGTCCAAAAATGATGGATTTTATCCCAAGTCCTGATTGGTAAGCAAACTGTAGTCTTCTGAGCATCTATGGAGCTGATAGTTCACCTGAAATTTTTTTTCCAATATAGGATCTCAAAGAGAAAAAAGCAATGCGGTTCTCATATTACATAGTACAAGAAATTTATTTCGACTTCTCTCATCTCTCTCTCTCTCTCTCGCGTGTGAGCACGCACACAGAGCCCCCAACGTCGTTACCGAAAAGAAAAGAACCTGTCATTTGTTACTTCTATATAATAAGTATGTTTTCTTAATGTTTTGGTGCTTATTCTAAAATTTATGATTAATATTCTGTCATTGCAGCCTTGTTTGTTTCAAATTTTGATTACTTTTTCCTTTAGTATTGGATACAGGTTATTGATTTCAGTTCTATATATATATATATATATATATATATAGTATATATATATATATATAGTTCGTTTACTTACTTTCTTCTTTTACGTACTATCGACTACTTTACGTTTACTATGTCGTTTCGTCTAGTAGTTTACGGG